CCAAAATCGAAATTCCAGTTTGGGAAGTCCGAAATAGGAATTCCGATTTGGGATATCCCAAGTTTAACTTGGGACATAGTGACGTTTGGGCTACAACAGCACCATCATCAGAATCAATATACTTTTTTATTTTCAAAAAATTGTCCAACTATTTTTTTTTCCATTACCTGTTACAATAAAGTAAACATTTGGCTTTTTTTTTTACGCCAATATTTATTTATGTACAATTTTAGTATGATAATCTAATTTTTGACATTAACCAAATAAGTACATCATTTGTTTTTTTATTTGATCCTAATAACATAATTATTTGGATTAATCGAAAATATAGAAATCCTGCAAAAATATATTTTTTTATAATTCGAAATCTTCATATATAAAAAATCATCCATTGATTTTATTAAAATATACTTGCCTTTTCTACAAAATTCTTAAACTGACGTTAGTAAAGCCATTTCTTTAAAAACACATATTTTTGTTAAAGTTAACGATAAATGAATCTCAAAAGTTGTAAAAAAATAAATATATAAAAATCAAAAGTCATACAAGGTCAAGTAATTTTTTTTTTCGGATTAGTACATTGCATATTAATATTAAAACAAAATTTTCATAAGGTAATGTTTACACCCCAGTTAGTTATAAATGATACGTGCGTTTTAAAGGGAATGTACGTTTGGCCGTTACACCAAAATAAAGATTTTTTTTGTACTCTATTTTTAGTTCTTAAGTAAACATTCTGAGTACATTGTTTTATTTCAGTTATTACTATAATATTGTATATACGCTTCCGTTCCTTTAAATTAATAAATATGAAAAAAGTAAATTTCTCATTTTAAAGAATGACAGAAGGCTCTCCTATTTAATTTTATTAAATTAAAAAATTGGTCGTCATACTAAATTTAATTTAACAATTGCAACAATTGCAGTATGTTCGGGTTGAAAATCCAATTTATTACCATGACGAGAATTTTTAAAAAATATTAATTGTGTTCGGTTTTTTATCTTGATTATCACGCGTTCTAACGAAATAACCATTTTATCGCATTTGTCTTGTACGACCACACCTTGTCGAAGTAATGGACATATTTGGTAATCATTATTGCATAAGCATTACACAATTTGTGCGCATCAAAAGGTACAAGTCTAACATTCTAATGTTCCATATTAAATAATTTGTTTTTGTAATTAAAAAAATAAATCATCGTCGATCAATTTGGATTAGTAAAGCTCTTGTTATGGACTAGAGAAACTGATTTACTTCCGCCTGTTGTATAAAATTTGGTTAAAGGGAATGTGAAAAATTTAATATTTAAATCTGGCGAAACCGCAGTTAATTAAAATTTCAGTCGAGAGAAAATCATGTGATGACAATAAGTCAAGTAATTAGTCTCCCATATAAAGTGCATAAATGACCGAGTATACGTCCAGTGGGCAAACAATTTGCGACGCAGTATTATTTATTTACAAGTAAACTTTGTATCAATTTTGTTCAAATTAAAAGAATCTTGTAAGGGTCAATTTCATGAACAAAAAAATTTATTTTTCATACATAAATTACAGGAGGAAGTTTTTGCAGTAACTAGAAAATATATTGTCTCTATACAATATTATGAGCGACACATTTATTGATTGTCTAACTAAATTGACGAATTCATGTGAATATGAGAGGTAATTATCTACCCCAAGTGTTGAGCTGGTGCAAGTTCAATGAACCACTCATGGTTATTCGATTAGTTTACTCACACCGAATGACAAAACCCGCTCCTTTTACATATGTAAGGTGATTCAGTTGGCGTAAAAATTTAACATTTGTTTACGACTTGAATAATATCAAGTTAACACATTCCAATAACGATGACGGTGGGTCCGCAGTCGAACAAATATTTTGGCGCCTTTTTTTGTCGATCGAAATATAATTGGTGCTTGATGTTTTTTATTTTTGTTGTTCAGAAAGTAGATGTTTCAGGATTTTGAACATTTTATTCTGTATAACCCACCTTGAGAAAATTTTAAAATTAACGGTACAGTAAAACGTTTTTTTTTTATAGCGGACTTGTAAATCCTATATATATTTATATTGATGATCATACCAAGCTTGTTAAGGCAATAGATGTTTGCTTTACTTATTTGGGTAATCATGGAATAAGTAAATTCAAGAACGAAACCAATCTTGTACTTCTCATTTCATTATTAGTAACATTTAGCCGTCTTGCATTATTGATTGACACAAGCCAAGCGTCACACAACATTGTTCCGTTTTTATGTCGTTATTTCAAAAAAAAACACAGTACTATACTAAAACCTTTTCAATTATTGCTTTCAAAATGCTTTTCATATAAATACCAGAAATAAATTCTCTGACCGTCTTTCTCTTTGACCCTTATACTAAAAAATAAGCCCCTTACTTAAGATTTCTTTTTATTTGGGAATCGATATTATATTTTATAAAATATTAATAATAATAAAAATAATTTTGTTGAAGAATCAATCTTTGGACCAAAATAACATAAAAAAAAAAGACATCACACCACTCTCTTTTAAATATATTTCGTCGCAAAATTTCCTTTTTTTTTTTTTTTTTAAAAAAAAAAAAAAAAAAAAATTACTTTATTATTTGCAGTAAAGCACACTTGCATTTTTTTTCTTGTAACGCATCGTGCAAAAACTCATACATTATATGGAGGTCATTAACGGTAACGTAATTGATGATCAAAATTCCAATAGGGATTTCGGTTCACAAAATGTCACAAATGAAATTTCATTACGTCCGAGGAGCACATCAGCTCCACAAGAACCCACCTTACAATCAATTGCGAATGATACCAACACGACCGCATCTATCGCAAACCCTTCTCAACAAAATGATCCGCAGCAAAGGAGATTCAATATTAAATGTGATTGTGGTCTTGAACCAGTTCTTCGGGAGGTTAAAATAAACACCCCAAATAAAGGAAGATTCTTTTGGTCATGTAGCAAATTTGGTAGACCAGATCATATGAGAAGATGTAATTTCTTTAAATGGGATTCTCCAAATGAGAATGAAAATGATGTGGATGAACAATCTTTTTTAGCTCGAAATAGGAATGAGATACCTTACGTCTTAATCAGATCAGTAACGCCGTTGATTTCCTACAATGACAACAACAACAGTAATGATGATGATGATAATAGTGAAGTAAACCTTTCTCCGCGCCCCGATCAACTCTCAGAGAATAACGTCGTACCTAGGTTGATCACGCGGACTAGGGCAACGTCCGCTGCAACTCCTCTGTTAACTCCACATCGAAGACGTAGGAATAGAAGGGCTACTTCATCACAAGCTCCTGGATCACCTCCGATGAGATCACAATCTTCCATCGCTGCAAATAATGCTTTAACCGGTGACGTGTATACGCGTAAACCGGCCCTATTTAGCAATTGGGATGATGTACCCAAATATTCTACTCCTCAATTATTGGATATAATGCAAAATCATCTCGTACAACAAGGTAAAGTAAATTCATTGTTAAATTAATCAAGAATTCTTTTCTTTTATCTTTATCTGATGGATTGATTTTTTAACCTCTTGAAGACAAAAATTATCAACAATGGTATACTGCTTACCAACTGGCTAAACAAGATCTTGAAGAAGCGAAGAAGAAAATTGAGAAATTAAATGATGAATATGAGGTGGTAAACAGGGAAAATGAATTGTACAAACGTGAAAATGATATTTTGAAAGCCGAAAAGCGGTTGTTGGAATATGAAAATAACGAATTAAAGGAAGAAAATCAAGAATTGAAGAGAAGGAGATTTTAAATATTATTTAATCGAACAATAATTTAATTATTCAATTATTATTATTTTTGTATATGTATATATATTTCTTTATATTAACCTTAATAATGTTATCCTTATATATTAGATATATTAGTTTGTATGTTTAATAAAAAAAGCGTAAATATAACGCGCTATTTTTACTATTGTGTATTAAAATTAAATATTTAACATTCTATAATTTGGTTTGACTCGAGAAACAATTTCGATCAAAGGATTTTTTAATCAAATTCCTCGTCCAGTTTTCGTTATTTTTGACAATACACGTCATAAATCTCCGTTGTTTCTAAGATTCTTAATACTTTTATTTTGAAATACATTTTTTCGGTGTAACCTACTTCTAATATAATTTAAAACTTAAAAAAATTTTGTGATAAACTAATTTGTAATCGACCTAATTTTTCTGTTGACATATATATATCTACCATAGCTTTAAATCAAGAAACAAAGTGATTTTGTTCTCACATTAATAAGAAATCATCAAAATTTATTATACAGTACGCAGTATTTCAAGCCGTATAGTACAATAAATTATTTCACGTGCTCGTGATTTCATTTCTTAAAAAATTGAAAAAAATAATCGAAGGCTGTGTCTCACTTTAGCTAGTAAACAAGATTAGAAGCATTAATTTTCTAAACCGATTAAAATACGATGAATCATAAAATTCTCAACAATTATATTAAAAAGAATTTCGTCGCCGTCGAAATGTTGGCATTTATTATATACATCCAAAAAAATTAAATTCCTTAATTCACTCTTGATATTATAAGTAAACTTATATCAGGTTCAATTTGAATTATTTATGGTAATTTTACTTGAAAATTGTCTCATCGGCAAAAATTAAGCCTTTAAATCTTTGATTTTAAAATATGTGGCCTTTGCAATACCTATTAGAAATCAAAATAATGAGAATCATTGTCTTTTTTAGATTTCATTGTTTGATAGTTTCCCTTGCAAAAGTCTAATTGTGTAAAAAAAATTAATTTTAAAATAACAGTACTATATATAAAAAAAAATTTATACAGGGATGAATGTGAGAGTGTACAACGGCACGATACTATAATGAATTAATGATTTTTTAAAGTTCGTCAAGGTACTTCCTAAGATGGATTAGATTTGTACAACAAATAAATGTTGTTACCATTTACTGTATGAAAGAAAAACGTTCTATAAAAAGCTTGAAATTTTTTTTTTAATTAAATTTAATTAATTTATTTTCAAAAAATTTTCCCCCTCTTTCTTTATTTCTACAAAATATTTACGCAAGAAAATAAACCGTCATATACGATGTCACTACAAATCCCCGACTTCGATTATAACAAGCAGTCTGTTGCCATTCCTGGTACAAAGAAACCCGGGCAGACAGGTATCAAAGTAGTAACGGCAAGCAAATTAAATTGATCTTAATTTAATTATATTAATTGAATTATATTATTGTTCTTGTAAATAAGCTGTCTACAGAAATGCATATATGCCAAATGCGCTTGCTGAAAGACCATGTCCCGAGGTGAACACAGTATTTGAAAATTTCCAATATGGTAAGATCAATTTGGAAATTAAATCACGCTGTACCACGTGAGATTGATTGAAAAAACAAACTTTTTTTTTCTTAAATAGCTTTTCGTAAATTTGCAAAGAGACCGTGTCTTGGGTACCGACCGTTTGATAAGAATACAGGGAATTTTGGTGAATATGTTTGGGAAACATATGAACAAACACTTGATAGAGTTAATAACGTTGGCAGCGGATTAGGTTATATCAATGATACCGTTGTAAGGAACGGAAAAAAAGATAGATACACCGTCGGAGTGTGGTCGTTTAATAAGCTAGAATTTCAATTGGTTATCCAGGCAAATGCAGCTTATAATTTAATCACGGTTCCACTTTACGAGACGCTTGGATCTGAAACGGTAGAATATTGCATGAATCACGCTGAAATTCAAATGATTTTTGTGTCAGCAGACCATGTCGCACCAATGTTAAGGTTGGCTGCTAAAATTCCTCAACTTAAAGTAATAATTTCATTTGACCCATTAGAAGGTTCAATCGATCACGTAAGAGGATGGGCATCAGAATATGATATTAAAGTTTATGAATTTTCGGAAATTGAAAAATTGGGAAGAGAAAATCCTAGAAAATATAATCCACCAACGCCAAAAGATTTATTTTCGATTTCTTATACATCAGGAACAACGGGAGTTCCGAAAGGTGCAATGATAACTCATAAGAACATTGTATCGATGCTCGCTTCGATTTCAACGCTTACACCAATAATTTCTGGTGATGTGATGCTCTCGTATTTACCTTTGGCTCACCTTTTCGGCATGGATGTTGAAATTGGTACTCTTTTTCTTGGGGGATCAATCGGATATTATAGGGGGGACATTTTCGGGATATTTGATGACATTAAAGTATTAAAGCCAACTTTCTTTCAAAGTGTTCCCAGAGTTTTTAATAAAGTCGCCGCAATGTTAAGAAGTTATTCCGTTGATTCTCCTGGGATTGTTGGTACGGTAGCACGAAAAGCTGTTGAGACAAAACTAGAAAATTTCGAAAAAATTGGATCTGTGACTCATCCAATTTGGGACAGAATCCTTTTTAACAAATTTAAAACTTTTTTTGGTGGAAGGGTGAAATCTTTTAGTACCGGGGGTGCTCCTATCGCTAAGGATGTTATGGATTTCCTTCGAGTTACATTCTCCGTTTCTTTTCAAGAAGGTTATGGTCAAACTGAGACTACGGGATTAGGATGTGCGACCATATATGGTGATATTCAATCATCTCATGTCGGGCCTCCTGTTGTTTCGTAAGTTTTCGTTTATATAATATTTGTTTTTCTTTTATGTTGAGATGATTTAATTATAATTTATTGATTAGATCCGAATTGAAGCTTGTTGACGTTCCAGAATTGGAGTATACAAGTGAAGATAGACCTTTTCCACGGGGTGAAATTTGTATTAGGGGTCCCGGTGTTATGGCTGGATATTTCAAAGATGAAGAGAAAACTAAGGAAACCATTGATGAAGATGGATGGTTACATTCCGGTGATATTGGACTAATTGATGCCAGAGGTTGTGTAGTTATTATCGATCGTAAAAAAAATATTTTCAAATTAGCTCAAGGAGAATACATCGCTCCTGAAAGGGTAACGCGTTTTAAAAATTTATTGTTATGTTATTTTGTTCCTTTTTTTAAAAAAAAATTGATTTTAATAATTTAATTAGATTGAACAAGTATACTTGAGAAATTTATTATTGTCTCAATTATTTGTTCATGGGGAACCCATAAAATCCTATCTTGTTGGTATAGCCGTTCCAAACCCTGAAACATTCGTTCCATGGGCGTGTGAGCTTTTAGGAGGAAAATATGAATTTGAAGAACTTGTAAAAAATAGAAAAGTTCGTGATGCCCTCTTGGAAAGTATTAATCAAGTTGGTATAAAATACGGGTTAAATGGGTAAGTTTTTTTTACCGAGATTTTTTTTATTTTACATCAAGACGTTGACATTATTAATCTTATTTGATTTAAGATTTGAACGATTAAAGGCTATTTATGTTGAACCAAAGCCATTTTCGCTCGAAGATGGAATTGTGACTGCAACGTAATCGACCCTTCTTTTTTTTATTTTTATTTTTATTTTTTTTTAAAGTAATTTCAAAAAAATTTAATCAAAGGATTTATTCTTTCGTATTTCTAGATTAAAAACGAAGCGTTCATCAATGGCCAAGTTTTACCAAAAAATAATTGATCAACTCTATGATGGTCTTGAAACTTCACAAAATTTTTCTGCCAAATTATAATCGGATCAAGTTTATAAAATAATTTTCCTTAGAAAAAAAAATTTTAAAATCATACATCACATCATTATTGCTGTGATTCATGTTCATTTGTATTAATAAATAAAAATTTTGCTATTAAGTTGTATCTTTGAAAGATGCACGATTAATTGAAATGCGACCAAATTGACGCGTAACAACCTGATTTGTAAATGAGAATGACGCAATAAAAAAAAACCAGATTAAAAATACACGTTGAAACTTTTCGTTAAAATTTATTAAGAAGATATGCAGACAAGAGTATGAGAGTCATCTTTAGAAGGATGATAATTTCTTATAAATTGACTAGGTTATTCCAACTTCTTTCTAAAGGTTTTAATGATAAATTTATAATAATTGGACAATTTGCCATTTTTTAGTATATTACACCATCTTTAGTCATTTATCAATCATTATTTTATCACTTAAAATTCATTGCCATATTTCTTTTTATAGTAAAATTTTCTTTGGGCAAAAATTTTTTAAAATGTTCTGTTACGAATTTTACCAGTAACTCTCGTAAATTAAATAAATTTGTTACTGAAAAAAATTATTCTCTTTCGTCTCTACGGTTTTTAATTTTCTAACGGCCGTATCAGCTACTTGGACTCTATCCAGCATTATCCCACATATTTTCTTATTATGCTCCAGCTTGATATATTTCATTGAATATTTTGTTTACATCTGTAATAAGTGGTAAAAAGCTTGCAAAATTTACTCCAGATTTAAAATACCATTCATATGCTTTCTTTCAATAATCCACATTATATTGACCTTCAGCATTTTGACAATTAGCAGATTTTAAATACCATTTGAATGCTTCCATTTTATTTTTTTCAATTCCAATACCATGTTGATAGCAATAACCTAAACTATTTTGCCCATTAGAATTTCCATTTTTAGCAGATTGTAAATACCGATTGAATGCTTTTTCTTCATTTATTTTTATTCCGATACCAAATTGATAACAATCACCTAAACCATTTTGTCCATTAGCATTTCCATTTTCAGCAGATTTTAAAAACCATTCAAATGCTTCCTTTTCATTTTTTTCTATTCCAATACCTTGTTGATAATAATAACCCACATTATATTGACCTTCAGCATTTTGACAATTAGCAGATTTTAAATACCAATTGAATGCTTTTTCTTCATTTATTTCTATTCCAATACCAAATCGATAACAATCACCTAAACTATTTTGTCCATTAGCATTTCCATTTTCAGCAGATTTTAAATACCATTCAAATGCTTCCTTATCATTTTTTTCTATTCCAACAATACCTTGTTGATAACAATAACCCACATTATATTGACCTTCAGCATTTTGACAATTAGCAGATTTTAAATACCATTTGAATGCTTCCATTTTATTTTTTTCAATTCCAATACCATGTTGATAGCAATAACCTAAACTATTTTGCCCATTAGAATTTCCATTTTTAGCAGATTGTAAATACCAATTGAATGCTTTTTCTTCATTTATTTCTATTCCGATACCAAATCGATAACAATCACCTAAACTTTTTTGACCATTAGCATTTTCATTTTTAGCAGATTTCAAATACCATTCAAATGCTTCCTTTTCATTTTTTTCGATTCCAATACCATGCTGATAACAAGAACCTAGATTACTTTGACTATTAGAATTTTTATTTTTAGCAGATTGTAAATACCAATTGAATGCTTTTTCTTCATTTATTTCTATTCCGATACCAAATTGATAACATTCACCTAAACTATTTTGACCATTAGCATTTCCATTTTCAGCAGATTTCAAATACCATTCAAATGCTTCCTTTTCATCTTTTTCTATTCCAATACCTTGTTGATAACAATAACCCACATTATATTGACCTTCAGCATTTTGACAATTAGCAGATTTTAAATACCAATTGAATGCTTTTTCTTCATATATTTCTATTCCGATGCCAAATCGATAACAATCACCTAAACTTTTTTGACTATTAGAATTTTCATTTTCAGCAGATTTCAAATACCATTCAAATGCTTCCTTTTCATTTTTTTCGATTCCAATACCTTGTTGATAATAATAACCCACATTATATTGACCTTCAGCATTTTGACAATTAGCAGATTTTAAATACCAATTGAATGCTTTTTCTTCATTTATTTCTATTCCGATACCAAATCGATAACAATCACCTAAACTATTTTGACCATTAGCATTTCCATTTTCAGCAGATTTTAAATACCATTCAAATGCTTCCTTTTCATCTTTTTCTATTCCAATACCTTGTTGATAAAAATAACCAACATTATATTGACCTTTAGCATTTTGATAATTAGCAGATTTTAAGTACCATTTAAATGCCTTTTTATTGTTAAAATCAATTCCTATTCCATTTGAATAACATTCCGCAACTTTAAATATCGCATCTAAATTTTCTTTTTTAGCTGCTTTTTTGTAAAATTTAAATGCCTCGCTCTTATTTAATTCAATACCTATTCCATTTTCATGACATCTACCTAAATTGTAATAAGCAATATTATATCCATCATCATTATTAGCGGACTTCTTATACCAATAGTATGCTTTTACTACATTTGCTCTTGTTCCTTCACCATTTTCGTATAACGTTCCAAGTAAATTTTGTGCAACTTTATGTCCTTTTATTGCAGCTTCTTTATAATACCCAAATGCCTCTTTATGATTAACTTCAATTCCTATTCCATTTAAAAAAAAATGCCCAAGTTTAAGTAATGCATCTAAATGTTCATATTCCGCTGCTTTTTTATAAGAATTTAATGCTTTTTTCCTATAATCTTTTTTATATTCGTAACACAAACCTAAATTATAATATCCATCTTTACATCCATTTTCTGCAGACTTTTTGTACCAATTAATTGCTTCCTCTAAATCCTTTTCTACTCCTACACCATTTTCATATAATATTCCTAGATTATTCTGCGCAATTTTATGTCCATTTTTTGCAGCCTCAATATAACAATCAAACGCTGCTTTCCTATTAACTACTGTAATTCCGATTCCTTTATAATAACAATTACCAACTTTAAATATTGCTTCCAGGTGTTTTTTTTCAGCTGCTTGTCTGTAAAATTTAAATGCGCTTATTTCATTTTTTTTCACGCCTATACCATATTCATAATATTTGCCTAAATTATAGCATGCTTCTTTATCTCCTTTATCTGCCTTTGCTTTAACCTGAGAAAATGAATCTACCACATCTATTTCCATATTTTTACTATATATATATAATGTATTAAGAATGTTCTTTCCATCCATACTTTTATTTGCTGCAGATTTTTTAATCCAATAAATTGCATCATTTAAATCTTTATTTGTTCCAATACCACTTTTATATAATAATCCAAGTTTATTTTGTGCATAAACATTTTCTTTTTTAGCAGCACGTCTATAAAATTCAAATGCCATTTTCTCATCAATTTCAGTTCCTATGCCGTTAATATAGCAATATCCTAATATTACCAATCCATCAGTATAATTTTCTCTGACTACTTCCGATAATTGTTTAAAATAATTAAAAGCTTCAACACTATTTTTCTTTGTTCCTATTCCATTTAAGTAACAAAATCCGGTATAATATTTTGCTAAATCATGACTTTGACTTGCTGCATCATGAAATAAGTCAAATGCATTATTATAAACTTCCTTTGTTTTAATTATAAAGCAATAAAAATATCCAAGTAAAAAGATATTATTCAATTTATTTTGATTATTTAATAGCCAATTAAGAATGTCCGTTATAGTTAAACCGTCATTAGTGATATGATTTTCAAGTATTACTTGTATTCTTTTGCTTTCGTCAAATGTAAAATCTTTATCATTTAATAGATAAGATATTATCTTTTCAACAATAACGTTTAAATCAATATTATCCATTGTTACAATTCTTTTTTCAGTATTTAATGAATATTCAATAAAATTTTCATTTGTAAAAATATTTCCAACTAAGTCCAAAAAGTCCAAAGAATATTTTTTATCAATCTTCAATTTTTTAGAATCTGGAAATATGATACAAATATGTAATTCTATTGAGAAATTCTCTATCAAGAGATTATCTTCATATTCAATGCCAACTTCGTTTTCATTCATACTTAAAGCTTTTAAAATTGAATAAGAGCGAAAGATAATGGAATTACATGACCATTTGACGAATTCAATTATATTTGCAGGTTCATCGTTTATTGGCGGATGATATGTGTTAATTGAAATCATATATCCTTCAGATAATTGAAATGGAGTTTTAATTTCATAATAATATTTATCTGGTTGCAATAAAATCGATTCATTAATAAAAATGATTTGAAATTCTCGATTTTTAGGACTAAATACTGACAATTCTGGTAACTTTGAAGGTTTTCCTATAATCATCCACAAAATATGAAATTCTGAGATTTTTGTAATTTTAGAATTCTGAGTCTCTATATTTTTTATAATTGCGGTAAATCCTTTAAAATCATTTAATTTAAATTTTACAGAAAATTCTTTTGATTTTGTCAATTTTGGTTCATTTGAAATAATCGAACCGAAAACTTCATAGTTTTGGTCATTTAATGACGGATTAATAATTATACGCTTATAATGTTCAATATTATTATCGTTTAAATCTTCCAAATCATCTATTCCAACCATTATAATTTTGTAATCATCTTCAAAAATAACATCGATTTGTTTTTGTAATTCCACTTGAAGTATGTCGTACAAAGTAAGGACATCATCATACTCAATAATTTCCAAATCCTTGTTGCCTTGAATGAAATTGGATAAATCATCAATTTTATCTCCTTTTCGTGTTAATAAATCAAAAGGTTTTAAATGTGATTTTACGGATTCAATCGGTATTTTTGCAAATTCTTTAGGGGAAAATTTCGTTGAAGTAAATTTAAAAGATTTTCCTAAAACAATTTTTTGTGGAAATAAATAACCATATTCATTAAATATGTCCTGTAAAGCTTTATATGGTTTCATATCTTTAATTCCTTTTTTTATATCCTGTGTCAACTCTTTTGAAAATATAATATTGTCCCAAGGTAAAAGAATCTCGTATTGCTTATAATTAATAAAATGAAAATCTACTACATTATCTTCATTCAGTTCCAGTTCATCATTATTTGTAATAAATATATTATTAAATATATGCAAATTTTCTTTTTTAATTGAAGAAACTTTGTTAGACAACAAAAATTTTTCAAATTGATTTGTTGGTTTCTTAAGTTTTAAATCAAAACTATTTTTTAATTCTAAATAAGGATATTTGATTAAATCAATGGCGACTTTTTTGGCAATCTCTATTTCTAAATCTTTATTAATGATCAGTCCTTGAAGAAGATTGAAATCATAAACCCATCTGGGCAAGTCAACATAAATTGAATCTTTTATCCAGTCTTCTAAATTCAACCTTTCTTTATAATTACAAACTTTTATTACTTTTTCATTTAAATCACTTGCAAGATAATTTTCATTCATTTTTAATTGAGAAACAGGAATAGGATTAATATAAGAAATTATATCGATCATATTTTCTTGGTACATATTTTTCATCCAATTAATCAACTTTTCAGTAGTTGTTAATTCTTTTCCATCCGAAGTTTCGAGTTTAGGTACAAGTTGCAAGTTAATAAAGTCGTATAATTGATTTCTTTCACCTTTAGCTAAATTATACGCCCAGCTTAAATGCATCTTTAAAAGATCAATTTGTATTTTGGTTGACGTGTTAAAATTTTTAATAAATAATTGACCACCAACTAAAACTTTTTCTGAAAAATAATGTCCATAATTATCGTTTAATTTTCCACCTTCATCTTTGCTGTTTAAAAAAGTATCAACAAAATTGCCTTTAAAAGTGATTTCAGCAAATGGAAAATTAATACATATATCATTCTGTTGAAATGAAGGTTTTAAATTAATATCAAAATTATTATTAGGTTCATTAATATTGGTATATATTATAGGTTGTCCATCATATAAATTTATATCCAATTCACCGTTGTTATAAATCGTCTTCTTACTAGGTTTTATGTTATAATCATCCAAGAATAATCCATGATTTAGCTTCAATTTTTGAATTATTTCTTCATCAGTTGATAATTCATTTTCTTTATCTACAATGGAAATGAATAATTGATGAATAATTGTTTTGAGATATAAAACCAAAAAAAAAAAACTTAATTTAATTAAACATACCTATATCTAATTTTAATTGATTTAAAGTTTCGAAAACATTTTCAACAATTGGCCTTTGACCGGGATTTTCTTCCCAACAAATTTGGTAAAGTTGTTGATATTTTATAGGTGTATTTGCAACAGTCACCTCTCTTAGACCGTTAAGGATCTGCTGTCTTAACTTGTCGTCAGACAATTGAAGCTTTGAATAAGGAGAACATCCACTTGATAATTCCCATAAAAGAATACTTAAGCTATAGATATCGGATTTCATATCGAGCTCGCAATTTACCGGATCAAAAAGATATTTTGGATCAGTATACCATAATTTTGGCTCAGACACGCCGAATAGATATGTATTTGCAATCTTTAGTTTACCATCATTAACTAATATATTTTCTGCGTGCTTTTAAAATATGTTAATAATTTTAAGATAGTTATAATGGTGATAATCTAGTTATTAATTACATACCAGATTTCGATGAATGATATTTTCTGAGTGCAAATACATCAATCCTCGGGTAATATCTAATGCCATTTCGATCTTTTTACTCCAACTTAATGTAATAAATTGCTTTTTTAAATAATTTTTGAGGTTCCCTTCATTTGCATATTCCAAAACCGTAACGTCATTTCCAAATGGATCTAATATAAAATAATTTCAAGTTATAAATTTTGAGTTGAATAAATTTTACAAAAAAAAATTCAAAGCAATTATTATGAATAAAACCTTTTGTCGTTCCAAGAAGATGGTAATTAACGTTACAAAGTTCTTTTATCTATTTATAACAATAATGTAAATAAATAATTTAATTCTATATTTGTTTAATAAAAATTAGAAAATATTTATTTAACCTCTTGAAGATTTGAACTTTTTAGCGCAACTCTATTATTATGTTTGGTCCAGTCCGTGTTACGAATTACACTTTTCTCGCCTTTACCAATTTCGATTATAGTTTGTATTTCGCTATAATCTAGATATTTAATTCTTTCTTTGTCATTTGAACGTGTCATTTTAAAATATTTCGTAGCGGAAAAGTTAATAATTTGACAATAACTTGGTTCGTGGTACTAAATTAGCCAATCTAAGAACGCCCTTGTAACAATATTTACATTATGCGTGATTTTGAACAAAGAAATGGTTACACTAAATCATTTGCAAAAATAAAATAAAAAAAATTGATCATTTGGGAGCTTTGCTGGGTTCCGGGGACCTTTCAACAAAAAATGAGATTTTTGATTCATATTATAGTATACTAAATGAACTTTATTTGGTTAAATTTTTAGAGGCTATTAGCTTATTAATAAAGCAAGTAATTAGGCCGCAAAAATGCTTAAAATTTTGTGTAACATCGAAAATAAAATCTAAAATTAGATTTTAGAAATGATCGACATATATTAAAATTAAATTTAATAAAGTTTATAAAGTTTTTTTAATTTTATACATATAAACTTTTCATTAATGAGGGTTTGAAAAGTATTCATACCTTCCAAAAAAAATTTTTTCATCTAGTTAAATAAATTAAACAATTTATAAATGAAAATGCTGTGCATAAAGGCTAAATGCTGTATTACATTTAGAGTTACATAAATCACAAAAGATATTAAAATTTTTTTATAGTATTTTTTTTTGTTCAAAAATGTAACGAATTTAATAGCAGAAAACATTTTAACAACAAAAAGAAATTGATTATATGTGAAAACAGCTAGAATAATGTTATATTCAAAAGGTTAGTTTCATAATTTTGATTAATTAGAAAATTATCATGAAACTGCAATATATAATTTTGTATTATATAAAATGGTAAAGGAACTAAAAAAAAATCCTTTAATTGATATAAAAAAGCAGTAATAAATAAAAAAATTTCACTTTACAAATTGATAAAATTTTATCATAAAAAATAGTATTAAATAAGTTTTCTGACTTAACCATGACTCTACCGTGACTTTTGGTTTTTTTTATTAATAATTTACCGCGACAACACCAAGGTAAATAAATTTTAAGTTTTATAGCATAAAAAACCTTATTTTTAATTTATATTATCTTATTTTTATTTCTATTACGCAGTTTTAACACATTTTTGTTTAATAATCATTTTTCAATTACAATGACGTGAAAAAGTATGAGATAAATAAGATTTTAATTGCAATGATTTCAGTTTTTTAATTACAATGATGTGGAAATAATTGAATGTTAGAAAAATTTTTTACATAATCAAGAATTTTGTGAATATAAAGAAGAATGATTTTTTATTTTATCAAATAATTAATTTTAATTTTGCAAAAAAAAAATGTGAACAGATAAACAATTGAAATTACTTATAAAAGAAAGAAAATATAATAATAAAAAATATCATGATCTTGTTAGAAACAGGAGGAGTAATTTTTGGAAGAGGGTTGCATCAAAAATAAATTTGAAGTTTGGAATGGAGTATTCAGGGAAGCATTGCAGGAAGAAGTTTCAAAGTTTGATATGTTGTTATAATAAAATAAGCAAAATGGTTTATTATTATTAAAACTTTAATTCTGTTCATTCACTATATTTTATTAGATAAGAAAAAATAAAAAGATAAGACTTGGGAGGAAGTATTTTAATGAGTTTAATACAGAGTTTTGGAAAAAGTTGGGTAATTCTTCACTTCTTATTTCTTATGATTGCATTTTATATAAATTATATAAACTAATTTAATCTTTTATTAGTTGATGGTGTTCAAGAGGATGAAGGAAAAGAAAAAGAGAAAAAAGAGAAAAAGAAGAAAAAAATATTTAGATGAATGAAAATAAGGACGAAGGAGAGGGTGAAGGAGAATATAAGGGGAATAGTGGTGGTGGTAGTGGTAGTAGTGTAATAGCAATTGCAGCAATTTGCAATTAAATAAATTTAATAAAAAAATAATACTGATAAAATACATGATTTAAAAACATAAGAATTAAGACAATTAAGATAAAAATTAAGATAAATTAAGATTTTATTAAAATAAATAAAAATTCATTTTAATATATTAATAAATTATAATGTTTTATTATTGAAAATCGAGAAAATAATGTGATATTATGATATACTGATATTTTTTTAAATCAGTATATCTTATTGAATTAGTTCTGGACTGTAAAATTAGTTCTAAACTGACTTATCAGACTGGTTTATTGACTGAATTTTTTTGAATTTGTCAAGTTTCAAAACTGGTTTTTTAGAATTGTGAACGGATTATTCTGAACTAATCTGTAATGTTATGCATTCAATATTTTTTATTATAAAAACATAATTGGCTATTGAGACTTTATTATAAAACCAAAAGTTTCAATAATTGAATATGATTTATTTTCTAAACAGATATATAATATCTCAAAAAAAATATAACAATATCAAAACAATAATAAAGATTAGTGTTTCAGGCAAAACTGAAACTTTTCGCAATGTATTTTTAGTTTCGCTTTATATCTAATATTAACTGAAACCTTAATTTCGAAACACTTTATAGATCAAACTGAAACACTAACAAAAATTAACCATAAAAAATTAATTATACCTTTTTTTTATTAAGAATTAGGAAAAAAGTATAAATAAGCCCGCAAAAGAAGTAAGATATAACAAAAATAGTTACATTTTTTTTTAATAAAATCAAATAAAAGAAACAATTTATTTTATAACTATTATAAAAGTTTAATCATGCGAAATTAATATACACATACTGTGACTCCTATAAAAAAATTTTAATTTCATAAAAGATTTACACACAATAAACTACAAGATGATTTAATTTCTGAATGCTCTAATATTTAAGGTTTACAATCAACAGATATAAATACAAATATTCAGGATGATTATATGGATTTTCAATATGATGAATCAGATCATTCTCCAAGATACAAAAAAAAAAACTTAAAATTAGTCGGTCAATATGTTCAATAATATAATATCCTAGTTCATATGATTATAAGGTTATACCTTAATCTTAATTGGTGATTTCACGTCAAGCTTTTCGCAATAATGCAAGCATTTCATTAATAGACAATAAAGCAATGTCACATTGAAATTACAATTCTTTTGAAAGAAGAGGTGATTGATTTTGATTACAAACGGTTTCTAATTTTGCAGGTGCTTTTTTTTATTTTTTTATTTTTTTTTTATCAGTGGTAATTATTAATGTATTGAGCATCATCAAAATTTTATGCTTAAATTATCAATATCACAGATGAAACCTAAAACACTAAATGATCATGAAGATAGACTCTTAGCATATCTTGAAGATATAATTGGAACTTCTAAATATAAAATCCCACTTGAAGAAATGAAATGGTTGAATTATTGGATAAAGAACAATCAGAAAATAGCAATTTTTTGATACAGGGCGGAATGTTTCAGAAATACCGTAAAGCACTGCCTAAGAGACCTCCTTTTGATAATATCCCCCATAATAATATACCCAGGTATTTTATTAGATGCAAAATAATGGTCTTAAGTTAAAACCCGATATCAATCAATTTTCAAATCAAGTAAATTGATCAATACCTGGATATTTTATCAATCATAAATAAATTAATTTACATATAATCTTAATATTAATTATATAAAACAAATAATTTCATAATTTATACTCTTAGAAGATAAAAATGTTTTTGAATTAATTTATTTAATAAGCAAAAAAAAATAATAAAAGTAATTGATTTTTATTTTAAATTTGTACAAATTGCAAAAAGTAATTATTATATAATTATTATTTATAAAAAACCCCTAATAAATTTAAAGTATTAAATAACTATTAAGAAAAGTATAAAAGAATTAAAATTATATATATGTTTAAATACAGTAAATATTTTCAAATCAATAAACCCACCTTCACTTATCATCATGATTAGTTTTCCAACTTGATTGGCTTGTGCACACTTCTTTTTCTTCTTCTCCTTTATTATTAGAATCACCCAAAGACAAAAGTGATTCGGCTATTTGTATTAACTGTTACTGTTGATATTGTTGTAGCAGTTGTTGCTATTGTTGGAGTTGTTGTTGTAACTGCTGCTGCTGCTGTTGAAGTTGTTGATATTGTTGTCGTCTGGATCTATAAATAACTGAAAATATTGATATAATTAAATTAAATTCATTAATAAAATTCAAAATAAGAAAAAAATACCATTTACCTGGTTTGATCCAAAAACAGGTTTTAAACTCCTCATGGTACATAGTACTATTTCTAGTTTGTTTCCCCTTAGGATCATTAGCAAGAAATTGTTCCATTTTCTATCAAAAATTATATCAAATTAACTGATATTTGAAAAGATAATGGCAGTATATTATAGAATTTTATATAATTACCTTGCAATCTTTCATGATTCTATGAAAATTTTCGCTTATCTGCTTTCCTGAAAAATTTGTTCTAAATCTTTGATTGATTCTTCCTACAAGTGAAATCTACTATGCTCTTTTACAAGTGTCACCATCAAGTGCATGATATTAAGCATTATTTTCCTTTCTTTTATCAATTAACATTTTTACTTTATTATCGTTCTAAGTAGCCATTTTTGAAGAAGAATTAAAAAAATTTGAATAATTTTGAATTTAAAAGTATTTTAATTTTTTTCAAAAAATTTGGATTCTTTTTGAAAAAAATATGAAAATCAAATCTTAAAGAAAATGCATTTATTAAATAATGTTTTTTTATACTTACATAATGTATGATTAACTAATTAATTAATAATTAAATACGGGTATTTTTTTCTGCGCATTTGCGTAAAATGCAGGGGTGAAAAATTATATATAAAATTTTAAACTCTTATTACTTTTACGCACAGTATAAAAAATTAATAAATTTATTAAAAATTATGGTAACGCGTATATTAACTTGTGTGTACCCACTTATAATTATATTAATTAATTATATTGTAAAGTACAAACATAAATAAATGTAATTTTTACATAATAAAATTATCTTCACAAATCGCAATTACCTACAAAATTGATAAAATAATTGAGTTATGATGCATTACTTTAAATTTTCCTAAGCCTAATTCCTAAT